ATCAAACATCATCATCAAACAAGAAAACTATGGGCAGTAAGGTGAAAACATTTTTATTTCTGCTCGAATTTATGTGCCTACACATGCGACAAGTTCGGAAATGTTCATTTGCAGAAATAAATGCAGCTTTGCATTACGCGCTTTCCTTGTCGCGGACAAAGCTACATATACTTCATAGATATTTAGCATGTCGTTCAGTATACAAGTACAGTCGAGCCCGCTTATAACGAACCTGAGCGTGACGCGGCATCCGTTCGCTGTATCCCGAAGTTCGTAGTAAATGAGACACAGCTTTTAAAAAAGTTGACTGAAAACGCAAACTTTTCTTGCCCCCAAAAGTCCGTGATGCACGTGTTTCGAAGAGCAGAAGCAATAAGGGCGGTCTCGAGTTAGTTTAAAACGGCAGGGTGCTCGTTCGCCGAGGGCCGTGGCATAAGCTGCATAAGGCACTGGCTCCTAAGTTTCGTAATTCTCGCTATTTGATTCCTCCAAATCGCTCTCGCTACGTACTTCATTCACAATGCCCCAATCCGGGCACGGTTTCGCAGTGTCGGCCTCATCGTCGGCCGTAATTAAACCACCACAACAGATGTCCCACCCGCTCTCTCAGGTCGGAGTCGACGGTGCACTGCCACAAATCGTCGCCGCAGTTCGGAAGCTTCTGGCTCGGCATCGTACCCGACGTTGACAAAGTCGGCCTCGCAAGAACAGTTTCACGCTCATGTAGCCGCCACCGCTGCCCACGAAATATTCACCATCTCCATGCTCAGCTGATTACCGGGACGCCCGAAGCGGCAAGTTGGCTGCCAGGTGGTCAATAGCTATAAGCAAGCGCTCTGCAATGCGGCACCTAACGCGCGGATTACGCTCTAGCCAAGCGGTCACACTTTCAACGTTTTGTTGAGCGGCAGGAAAAAGCGTGCTAGTCCTCCCGTCGGCCACCATGACCACACACGCACACCAAGAGCGAGCAAGACGCGCACACGCGACACACATGCCAGAACGGGTAGAACAGCTCTGAGCCCGTCGGAAAACGAAACTAATTCGAGCCATTGTGGCGGGCGTCTCGGAGCGGTGGAGACGGGCGAAGGGGTTGTGATCAAGAGAGGAGAGCAGACTTGCGAGAGAAGGGCAAGGAGTTGCGATAAAGAGGAGGAAAGATGTGGTGGGAGGGCGACCTTGAAAACCGAAACACACGGGAAGGAAGCACGTTGGGTAGCTTGCTTGAAAGGTCCGCGAAACTCGTACGTAAAAAAAAAAAAACTCAGAAAAAGTGCCTGTGCGCGGCGGTGTTCGAAGAATCGGCGGCCATGGTGAAAAATCGTTTTGTTGTGCTGGCGGGTTGGCGTGGCCTCACAAACTTTGATATTTCGCGATTTGTTCCGCACAAATTAACAGCCGATTTCCCGCTTCCGCACGCGCGCGGAAGGCATGCTGAGCCGAAGGCGAAGTGAGCGAGAACAAGTCCTAAGCACGAAACGAATCGCAAATTATCAGAGTTGGCGGGGCAGCGTACGCGCGTGCACTAGACGCCGAATATCGGATACTGTCGGTGGCCGACGATGTTGGTAAATGGTCTGGTCACTCCAGGCCGGCGACGCCAACGACAGTACCAGCGATCAAAAGCAGGGGAGATGGCCGACCCATCTTGGAAAGATCGGTGGCAGTTTGAAAACACAGGCCTCGTCTGGCAATGCAGGGTAATCACAGTAGCGGGGGCACAAAGGACGGAGGGGTGCCTAACAAAAAGCATTCGGGGCATAGAGGAAGGAAACAGTTTTCTTTCCTCCATCGGTTGGGGATAGCAGCAACTAGAGGGTCGCGGAGGCAGGGTCGGCGTTTAACAATAAGAATGTATGGGCACTTCGCCGATGCCTGATCGGTGGTCGAAATTGGTTTCCCGGGAAGTCGGCAGACTGCTGACTCCGTTTGCTGTAACTGATGAGTGGCGCTCGGAGACGTTCGTTGTAAGTGCGATTTCGTGCCATTGAGCCAATGTATATTTTGACGGTCACGGGGATATTGTTCATTTAAGCGAACGTTCGTTTTAAGTGGGGCTGTTATATGTGGGCTCGACTGTGTTGCGCGGAACTGGTTTTCTGCGATACTTCAAGACGGCAAATTTGCAAGCACTCTGCACAAACCAATACACAAACATATTACAGAGCAGTGCTGAAAGCATTTGTTTACTATGAAATATTCTATCGTCTCAGCGCTCAAGACATTCTGCGCAGCATAATATCTATATCTTCTTCAGCATACTAGATAACTAGCACTCAAAGCATATAAGTAATACAATTTCTTTCAAACTGCTGAATCGCAAAAAAGGCAGATAGTGTAGCATTCTACACACATTGGCTACAAATACCCGAACGCTAATTCGACAAAATCTAATTTATAACCTCTATGACTCCACATTTCTTTTCAAAAACAGCACATCTCGGCAGCGCGTCCATTGCTCGGTAGCTAGCCCTCGCCACATGTGTGGTACAAAACATCGCACTGTGTTTAGAAATTCACTGTATTAGTTATGCAGTTTCTTTCCTGTATTAAATATTGCGGGACTTGAAACAAAATAATTCATTTCAGCTTAATTTATACGTAATACTTATGTTTGATTACTGCTTCTATATTCAATGTTTAAGCTTATGAGATACAGAACTAATGAGACGGCTGTCATGGTAGAGAGGGTGTGTTTGTGTTGTCAGTGTGTCGGCATGTGTCAGCTGTTGTAGCTCTCTTGGCTCTAATTTCGTCATCGCATGGAAGTAAATGCAGGGCTGTACACAGTGCTATCAGGCAGGCATGCTACCAACGAAACAACGACAATGTTAACACTTCGAGGTCAGGCAGTCCAAGACGAATGTGAAAGATTGACAACAGCTTTTAGTATTATTGAATGTAGTTTGTAGAACTGATTGTAGTTGAATAGAGTGTGAGTGTAATGATTGTGTTGCACACTTGCGAAACGGTATAATTCACGAAAACAAGTACATATCAGGTCAGGTGAGATTGTTTATATTATTATGACTAAGCGAAGAGGATGATGTCTAAAGGAGAAAGATAGCTGCTTCTAGTTCAACTGGTCATCCTGCTGGTGGCCAGTTAAGTTGCCACTGGGATCAATTGCTAACTGTAACCAATTGCAACTAAAATCAGCTGGGACAAGTTAGTTTTCAACTTGGACCAACTGATACCAGTTAGAACCAGTTGAAACCAGTTGGATTCCCAGTTACACATTTTAACCTGAGAAATGAAGGCTTAATTTTAGACATACACTCAAACTTTGGTATAACGAACCCAAATATAACAAAATATTGGGTATAACAAAGTGCAGTGAAAGCTCAATAATCTTCACCTCATTAATTTAAACTTTTGGGCCAATTCAAACTGATGCTCCCCCACACAGCAGCGCGCAGTTTGAATCGCGTCATTGAGCCGCCGCAAGCTTTTACGGCGCAACGATAGATGCTGGGGTGGAACAGTTGCGCCATTTGCGCCATTGTGCACCAAACTGATTTACCTGCTCCATCCTGCGCAGAACCACTCCTGTTTCTCCAAATTATTTAATCAGTGCCATACTGCACCGCACAATCCAAATTTAACCACTTGGTGCGACAGCCATCAAGCCCCGTGTCCGAAACGTGTTGAAACATCGTGGTTTCTATTTCTTCGAAGCCGTTATAGTTTCGGTTTTGTCAAGGCTATGATTGCTTGAGCAGCAGCTGTGAACTTCGATTCTAGGGGCATTGTCGCGATCACTGGTGCATATTAACTCAGGAGGCATTAGCGCGAATGGCTTCTGGATCGTTTCACGAGCTGTGCTATTAAGGTGAAGAGACTGCCGATAAAGCATTTCTCCCTGTTGCAACCGTATTCTCTTACACTAGCATTTTGTTGAGTTATTTGATGGCACATTAAAGAAAAGGTAAATGCCAGCCTTACTTCATACAATTTGTTACTATCACATCGCCGTTTGTGGTGGTACTCGATGGCAGTGTTCAGAAAAGAAAGAAAGGTGCTCAAAAAAAAGCAGAGATGGTTTAGGTGCACAAGACTGCTTATCGAGCGTGCGTGCCGATTTTAGTTCATTTCGCAGTTTGTGCTTCATTATGCGGTGCTTATGAACTTGGTGGTTGACACTCGCGTTTTCAGATTTAACAAATGGGTGGCTGTACATAGCTAAACTAAGTCACAGCTTAACCGAAAAAGCGAAGCGATGAATGCGATAGCAACCATCGCGTAACTCTACAAAACGCTGGTTCAAGAGAGCATGGTCACTCCAGGTTTAGCAGCAGTTTTTGCACAGTCTTTTTGCAATGAGAGCGGAGGACAAAGAAGTGTATTCGCACCGCCCTTTCATGGCTGCCAAGCTAGCACTTACACCAACGATCGCGACCGCGCCATTAGAAGCGAAGTTCACAGTTGCTGCTTGAGCAACACTTCTTCCCTCTACACCTCCCTTCCTCTACACTTGAGGCTATGCGTGTCGCACGCCTATTCTTCAGCTTCAAGGAAAGCAAAGAGGATGCTTTCCGGCACGTTGGCACGTTGAAAAACAAAGATCTGGTGATTGAACTAAGAGGTTTTGTAGATAAATATTTCGAGTGATTTTCCAACAACCCGGTCTCAATTTTCGCTGTTTATTCAGTGAATTTCATTAGTTCGAAATTTGGTCTAATTCAAACTTATTGGGTGTCTTCATGAAATTCAAATCAACGAGCATTTACTGTAAATGAAAAATAGTATTGCAATAGATATAGGACTACGAATATAACTTTATAACATATTTTTTAACATAATGAACTTATTTACGTATAACATGCAACATTGTTATTATGACATTGGTTTGTGTTATTCAGTGCAATGAGGGGTTGCCAAGATTCTGTTGTTTCACAAACTACAGGAGCAAGCATTCTTTTTTTGCATCAGCTTGTTTTTTTTTCTTGGTTGCTTATGTTCTTGGAGCGTGTGAAAGACGATAGGTGCTTCTTGTGCAGTTTGATGTCCAGGGCAAGTACCCACTCATCTGGAATGGCCACCAGGATTGGCAGTGCAGCCTAGCTGGCTGTCGTAGCTCTCTCACCTTGCTGCACACACACAAAGGCTTCTTCCAAGGTATTGCCTGCCTTGCATGCAATTGATGAGTAACCAAAGGAACATTCATTACCGAACCTAACCATGTAGGTAACCACGTAGCCGAGCCTAACCACGTACAATGGAACTTTGATTATGCCTCCCCCGGTTTCGCGATGACCCCCATTTTACGCCGAATCGGTTAGGTACTAGCAAATTCCCCATAGGAATAATGTATTAAAAACCTTGGTTATACGACACAGTTTTACGCCAACTCCGCATCTTACGACGACACTCAGATTTTGTCCAAGAGAAAAAAGAACGCCTTTACTTGAATCAAGCGTTGAGCAAATATTCATGAGTGCAAAATATAAACCTGCATACCCCTAAGTTGATGATTAGGAAAGTAGAGAGCGAGATAGATGTCTTTTTAGAATAAAAAATTTATTCTCCTGGAAGTTCATGCGCTTCTACACACGCCGCAATCATGTGTGTACGTATCTGGGGTCGTTACCTAGTCAAGCTCTATCCATACAAAGTAGCTCTAGCCGGTCAAAAAGCTGATATTTTCATATTTTCGGTCCATGGAAACATTTTCTGGTCGACATACTGCTGATATCCTGCCTTTGTCGCACTCGCAGTCACAGGCTTGCGAATGAATAAGGGCGGACGCAGCTGTTTTCACTAAGAAAATTACTTTCACTTGACGTTGACGTTCATACTAACAGCGGGACATCACTACCACTTCACAAGGCCACAAATTACAATGTGCATAGCTCAATCGCACACGAAGGCATTCTACGCACACTCATGGTCAGTCGCCATTATGTGATAGTGATGACCACGAATGACGTGGTCATCACTTGTGTCAGAATGACGAGAGGCTATTGGCAACACGATTTTGTTTTCGTTTTCATGCGCAGGCAATTTTCAGAATCTATTTATCAGTAAAATGATGCACGTTGGATTCAATTCTTTTTAAACCTGAAAACAGAGATTCATTCGCATCTCTTTCAACTAAGTAATGCTGCCATTAGCTGGTGCTGGCAAGAATAATTTAATATACCCTTCTAGCGGAGGCACAAGGTCGTGCCGTGGGCTTATTCAGGCGGTCTATACCCACTTTTCGAAACAAAGTTAAGTGTCTTTGCTATATTTTCAGTTTTTCGATTAAACGAGCCCAGATTATACGATGGTTTTAAGTGGGTGCCCTGAAAGTCATATAATCGGGGTTCTATTGTAAGTAGTTCTTTAAAAAGCAGCTGTTGGGCCTGGAGCTACCACAAAGTGACAATAATGATTTTTACCAGGCTGCTGGAGGTACTATTCATAAAAAATAACTTTTTAAACTGTGTATTTGCCAAGGGGAAGTATGAGGCTTGATGCATAAGGTTCGTGGAGTGTAATAAATACAGTTATGGCGAGATACCCTAAGTGCCATGGGAAACAAATTCGTGCAGTTGAAAAACATGACATATCTTGAGAGTGTTGTGAGGGAGGGAATTGAGAATGCAAGAGATGGTGGTGGCACTTCTATCAAACGCAGCAGTGCAAAACAGGACACTAAATAATACATTGAAATATGTAGTGACACGTACCCCGAAGGAGTACGGCCACTAGCGTGGGTCCGGTCTTAGCGATCCGCAGGGCACGCGTTAACCGTCGCCGTGGCGAGAACACGATACTGCTCAGTCGCAACACTTATTGTCTGTGGCAACACCAAACACAGTACAGCCCGTTGCAAAGGCACGGCGGGAAAGCAAATGGGCTTACCCACGCCACTGGCATAAAAGTATTACACAGGGTGCCACGAGCACGTCTCCTTGGTAAAGGTGATCCACGGAGACACCGGGACCAAGGCCCGGTTGCTCGAGTGAGGTCAAATGCGCTCGCGTTGGAGGGAGACGGGTCGGCGTAGCTAGGGCCACGCATTAGGACACCATACCACCCTTCGGACGAGTGTACGCAGAGGGGCAACAAAAGGTGAGCGTTCGCCTCGAGTGCGAGGCGCATTCAGCGAAGTCCGACGAGCCCTGAGTGACGGGGGTCGACGTACAGAAAAGATCGCGTGGCTCACCGTCTGCAGTCCCGGAGAGTATCTATCTGCCCGCTCCCGACACAACGCACAAAAACCTCTCGGGAAACTCCGCGCGCGGCGTGACAGTCAACATCCGTTACCGGGTGAGGGGGTTAAACGTCGCTCCGCTCTCTCAGCACGGCAGACAGCAAAGGAGGGGAGACATGTTGGGACATGAGAATGGCAGAAAGGCGACAAAGCCTGCGCAAAGGCAGCGGGCTAGCCTCAATTCCTACAAATAGTACTAACAACAGCCAAATACCTCAAATGCTAAATACGCGCTTTTACTGCCACGGCAGTCGGGCCACATTGGCCTCAGAGTTGCATTTGTAATAGTGCATGTTTACTTTTTTCTAGTCACTGTGGCATTTTAGTCATGTCTTTGTCATTTGTAGTAGAGTCGAATCTCAATTGTTTGAACTCGAAGGGGCCCAGAAATTTGTTCGAATTAAAGAAAGTTCAAATTAATGAAAGCTAAATGAATGGAGGGCTCACCATGCAGTGGTGCATGGTGAGCCCACACATTAAGCCAACACATGAGGAAGAAGTTTCAGAAGATTTACATTTATTCACAAATAACAGGACATCCGTCATTAATTGAAGTAACGAGTGATGTGCGTCTGCTTGATTTGCCTTGCAGTGAGTCAATCAATTTCGCACGCAGCTTTTTTACTTTGGCTTCAGTATTCTCCTGGCAAGAGAAGTTGCATGCGGCAATGTCCAGCGCCGACAGTCTTTAAAGACGATGACAAGAACGACTGCGTCTCTGCTACTACCCTCTACGCCGCAGCCGCGAAGTGGCCAGCATGTGACGAGAAAGGAGGAGCATCTCCATGTGGAGAGAAGCAGATCGGCATTTGAGAAAAAACCAACACTCCATGGCAGCTTTTTTTTAAAGACGATAGTATTTCTTGGGGACCTTCGACGCAAAATTTTTGGTCAGTCTGTCTGTACATTTGTCTGTTTGTTCACTCTTAACAGCATTGGGTATTCGAAAGGGTCGACCCCTTTCGCAGCGCCCACCTATGTTGCTCAAGATTCAGCGTTCGTACTTTTGCAATTGTCGATTAAAAAGCAATTATTGCGCGTGTCTGGGGCACCATTATAACACGTATATATTCTGCATGTGCACCTTTTACTAGAAAAGGCATACATAAGTAATTCTAAGGACTGTAGCGCTTATCACGCTGCGCTTACCATCCAACGCTTGCATGGAAAGGCGAGTGTTTCCAACGCTTTGCTAAAACGAGACGGTGGTGGCACCTACCCGTCGCCTTGCGTTCTATACCTTATCACCTCTGAGGCGGGCGCGCATACCCGTCTCAGAGCCATGCGCTTTGTTTTTGAAACAAACTACCAGATGGCGCTCATGTCTCACGTGTGACGTGACTTGATGCGCTCGTTCAACTCCGCTGCAGACTCGAGGCACTCTAACACAGCGCCTCCAGAATACCATTAATCAATTTTCTTGAGCAGAACATCGAATAAATGTTTTGTTCACTCTCTCCACACGCAAGGCTATCGTCTTTCGACGACATTTGCCGATTAAATGCAGATACTGGGCCAATTTTTTTTGCTCTCTTCGTGCACATCGTTTAATGTAGAAGGGTCTACGTGGCAAAGACGGGAAAGGGGAGATCGTGGCACTTGCTCGTGAGAGAGAGCTTATGTCTGTCCGCGTGACCATCCGTGCGTCCATCCATGTGTCCGTCCACCTGCCCGTGCGTCCATTCGTCCGTACGTCTTCTAGTCTGTCCGTCCGTCTGCCCGCGTGTCCATCTAGTGAACACTATAAGTACCGCCATCTTGCACCTCGCATCCGCTGTGGCACATACCCGCTCTACGCGTGTGCGTTCATCCGTGTTTCCATCTATGTGTCCATCCGTCCTCTCGTGTGTCCATCCGTGTGCCCGTCTTATCGTGTGTCCATCCGCGTGTCTGTCTGTGCGTCTGTTCCGGCATTGGTCCATACATCCGTCCGTTTATGTGTCCGTCCATGCGTCTGCTCATGCATCCGCCCGTGAATCAGACAGACGACGCATGGACGTGGACAGTGGATAATTCACGGTTTGCCGATAAAAAGTATGATACGCACAAGGCGACGGCGGTTCCCGCCTGAAGACGGAACCCTAACGAGGGAGTGCGCGAGAAATAGAAATGACGTCACATGAAGACGTTGGCGATTGTGTGTTCGATGGTGGCGCCGTACGATAGGGGGCACAGTGTTGTGAAAAAAAAAGCTGTTTTGGCACCCGCCTGTGCGTTCAGAAAGTCAGCGGATAGACAAGGCTGCAGAGCGGCGGGCGCGCAAGGTGGAGGCGGCTCGCGCCTGAGAACTAAACCCTGATATGCGAGCATGGGAGGCAGAAGCGTGCCGGGAAGCTGCACGGCGCCGACAAGATTCTGGTGTACGAGAACGGGAGGCCAAAGTGGTGCGGCAGCGTCGTGTGAACCCAGCTTTGCTCTCCTCTCTATCATTCACTCCGTGGGTATGTGTCATTTTTTTTCCTATCCTTGTGTGCGGCGTAGAAATTAGAAGGGTCTTTACATGGCGAGGACGGAAAAGGAAGAAGTGTAGCACAGGCATGTCGCAGATTGTGATTTGAGAGAGAGCATGCATTCCATCGCAGCCTTTTCTTTCCTTTTCTTTTCCTTCGCACACAGCGTTGAGGTGTAGGAGGGGCCGCCGCGGGATAAGGCGTGGTGCTGAGAGCATTTTCCGAGCGCGGTATGTTCGAATGAACCGTTGGCGAGTGCTTGCGCGCTTGAATTACAGAGTGTTTTTGCCCATTGCAATACACATACCTATGACGGGACGTCAGCATGAGTTCGAATTAAGCGTGTTTGAATTAATTAGATTCGCCTGTACATTGCATTTGCTGTCAATGTTCTCGAGGAGAACTGTTTTTGCCGGTTTGCCAGTTGTCGTTTTGGCCATCATGTGTGTGATTGAGTTAGGCCTAGC